ATTTTGATTCACTTGGATTTCACTTGGTTCTCTGTGTGTAAAAACAAGCCAAACCACATGGAAAAGCTACCGCTGATTTGGGCCAGAGGAAACAAACTATAGGTGTGAAAACACTCTGACTTTCCAGGAGCCCTGGACAGTCACACCTAGCCTCTGTTTGCAGCCTCTCCATGGTGGTGTCTCACTCCCTTTTCACTTGTTGGTCTTAAGAGTGAGTGGAGCTTTAATCCATTAGTGTGTACTATGTAGTCCAGGCAACATAATGTCATGTTCATATATTTAAAGATAATATGATATTACTTTGACATTTCTTTTGTCTTGTGCAGAGATGGAAAAACATATTTGAAAGCTACTTAAGAGTTGACATAGAGATGTCCACAAGATGGCGACACAACCCACTAAAAGAAAGTAGTACCCACATAGCTCCTCCAGGCTGGCAGAAAGCTCACCACAGGGTACAGAAATAATCCCATTCAGCATTTATTATTTGTGATATTAATGCCTATTAGCATAGATTTCTATATTTAAAACAAAGGCATCTCAGTAATATGCCTTGTGTTGAACATCTACACTCAAATGTACAGGAAAATAGTACATTTCTTTTTTTCTTTTCTTTTGTTATGTCTTTTCCTGTCTGGAAGCACTTGCAATCAAATTTATGATCTGATTGCACTATTGTGGCAAACACATTTCGCTGTGGTGTGTGTGTATCTGTGTTTGCATGTGTGAGAGAGAGAAAGATGGAGTATGTTTGTGTCTTTGACATGAAATGTGGGTGGGAAGCTGCAATAACGCCACCTAGGAGCCAGAAGCAGACAGAGATGGATCTGGGAGAACCAGGCCATCCGAAGCCCCCGAGAGTACTGAAGACCTCAGGCCACACATCTCAGTGATATCTGCGTATCTGCGGGGCATGGAAAGATCAGGGTCCCAGTGTTCTAGGAGCCCAAGAACCACACTGTTTGCATTTGGTCACTCACTTACCCACTAATGACACAGAGACACATATATCACACATGCACACACATTGACCCTCCCCTTTGAGGTGCCAGCAAGCAGATGCCCCCCGAATAAGCAGTGAACTGAGACGCTGCCAGAGCATCGCATCAAACCACCTGTAGACCTCCGTACCTGGCAGGGTGTGTGGAACAGGGGTGCAGGAAGATGCTGACCATCCCCACTAAGTAATAGAATTGATCAGTGGGGACCAGAGGGAAACAAATTCATCCAGTTAGTTTTGTGAGGAGGCAGACGTTCTAGTAAAGTAAATTTCTTTATTGAACAATACATAAAATGTTTTTGGATTTCCAGTTCATGAGCATAGTTCTCTTAGCGATGCATAAGACAGTATCTATTTCACATATGTCACCTATAATGCACAGCTGGGTGACTACAGTGACTAGACCATGTGGATAGGTAGGGTGTGCAGACCCATATAACATGCATATAGTTGTGAGCAGAGTTGTCTTTGCAATGGGTGCATGTATTTGAGTGTGTGAGACCCATTTGGAACAACCGTTCTCCTATATAGTTTGTTCTGTAGACAATTTTATATTGTAAGTTGTAAGTTGGGGATTTCAGTTATTTTGAAGGTGTTCAGACAGTTTTGATCTGGACTGATGGAAAGATCTCGCTCCCAATTTATGGTTGGGAGGGGAAATAATTCATTAGTTTTAAATAAAAGTTTTTTGATCACCATTTGTGGGTACAAATATTTTTTTTTTTTTACCCAAGTAGATTTTTCTGGATTTAGTTGATTGGGATTGAATTTGTCCTGTATGATGGATTTCAGCTGCTGATATCCAAGAAAT